CCAAGACGGACCCGCCGCTGGCCAAGGCTGAGCCCATCAGCAACGGTGGGAGTGCCTCTGGGATAATGTATTTAAGAAGGGCAGGGGGGAGAGAGGAGCCCAGGCTGGAGCAGATTTGCTGGAAGGGCTGGTGACCCCATGGGGGACCCATGCTGGAGCAGTGCGTGAAGAGCTGCAGCCTGTGGGAAGGAAGGACCCACATTGGAGCAGTTCATGGAGGACTGTCTGCCATGGGAGGGACCCCATGCTGGAGCAGGGGCAGAGTGTGAAGAGGAAGGAACAGCAGAGACATGTGACAAACTGACCGAACCCCCATTTCCTGTCCCACTCCACCATTTGGGGGAAGTAGAGAAAATCAGGAGTAAAGTTGAGCCCAGGAAGATGGGAGGGGTGGGGGGAAGATGTTTTAAGATTTGGGTTTATTTCTTATTACCCTACTCTGATTTGATTGCTAATAAATTAAATTCCCCCAAGTCAAGTCTGTTTTGCAAAACAAACAGGAAAAAAACCAATTAAAATCACTAATACACAAAGACTGCGTAAGATTGAAACTCCCCTTATACAACCGTGCAGCACTAAGCTGAAGAAACACAACGCCAGAACGCGTCACAGTAGGGAAAACAATAAAATGGGACCATCCTAGCCTAGGGGGTCTCCTTCAAACCCATTCTGGAGAGAAAGAACAGTCACAAACAAGATCCAACCAGAGAAAAAACCCTTTGGGATTTTTCTTGAAAAGACTTCACAAAGAAATTTTATTCCGCCTCTACTCTCATGGCATTTTTGTCTCTTCATTTGCGTTATTCATCTCTGCACTTGAACTTTTCGTTTTATCCACTTTGCTCCTGTTTGCTGCTGTTACAGAATTCCCTGGGCCCGGGTGCGCACGTGTGCTGCCAGTACTGCGCATCCAGCTTGCCCATGTCACCAGCACAAGACTGGTACAGAATGGGACCACTTTGTGTATGTTTGGTACCTAGCACTACAGGGACATTTTCTCAGTTATTCTTCAAGGAACTAGAAATAATAGGAATTAGAAATGACAACAACAAGTAACAAGAGGTTCATAAGCAAACTTTATGTACTGCATAAACTTGCACATGAATGCAGCAATCTACATACCAATTTTCTAAAATTTATTCATGAAAAATTGCTGTAACGCAGCATTTTTAGGTTCAGAAAAATCTGGAGTTTTAAAAATGTTTTGCTTGCGGATTTTGTTTATTTTTATCAAAAATGTAATGAATATCCCACAACACCTTTTTCAGGAACTCGCACCACTACAACAATGACATCGTTGTTTTAGAATATGAAAAATTTAAAGACCAAAGTCGCTGACCCTGGATCCTCCTATTGCCATGTCACATCGGTAGGAGCCATGAACTTACTGCTTCATAACAAAACCAGCATGCTTAATAAGGATTACTGAGAAGATGATGAAATATATTTCCATTACTATAGAGCTCACAGGGAGCATCTATCCCTGTGCAATCACACCAGCTTGACAGCCAATAGAAAAGAGTCTGAATGTGTCAACACCTGTAGCTTAGAGAGGTGAAATTACCTGTATATTTAAAAGCGGTGAAATTATTTTTCTTCTTTCTTTAAAGCTATGGCTTTAAAATGAACATGAAAAACGAACACCAAAGAAAAATACAAGTCAGTCAACACAACTCACTGCAGTTACCTTCCCATTTAAACTCCAAGCATTTCTAGCACAAGCTCACCAACTGTAATCATTGATTTTTGTGTTATAAGTTGCCACATGCATTGGGTTTGTGTGGCAAGGTTTTGGTAGCGGGGCAGCTATAGGGGTGGCTTCCGTGAGAAACTGCAAGAAGCTTCCCCTGCGTCTAACAGAGCCAATGCCAGCCGGCTCCAAGACGGACCCGCCGCTGGCCAAGGCTGAGCCCATCAGCAACGGTGGGAGTGCCTCTGGGATAATGTATTTAAGAAGGGCAGGGGGGAGAGAGGAGCCCAGGCTGGAGCAGATTTGCTGGAAGGGCTGGTGACCCCATGGGGGACCCATGCTGGAGCAGGGGCAGAGTGTGAAGAGGAAGGAACAGCAGAGACATGTGACAAACTGACCGAACCCCCATTTCCTGTCCCACTCCACCATTTGGGGGAAGTAGAGAAAATCAGGAGTAAAGTTGAGCCCAGGAAGATGGGAGGGGTGGGGGGAAGATGTTTTAAGATTTGGGTTTATTTCTTATTACCCTACTCTGATTTGATTGCTAATAAATTAAATTCCCCCAAGTCAAGTCTGTTTTGCCCGTGATGGTAATCGGTAGGCGATCTCTCCCTGCCCTTATCTTGACCCACAAGCCTTTCATTATATTTTGCTCTCCCCTGTCCAGCTGAGGAGGGGAGCGATAGAGCGGCTTTGGTGGACACCTGGCATCCAGCCAAGGTCAAACCCACCATAACACATTATTGGAAAATTCACACATTTGCAGAGGCCTAGAATAACCTCCCAGTATTAAAGAACTTCAAGAAAGCTCTATAAAGCTTTTTATGTCAAAGTACAGAGAGTCATATATTCCACCCACTTTTGCTTGTTCAGGAAAGAAGGAAACCATTTGCCAAAAGCAAAAGGAAGAAAGCTAAAAAACTAGAGGCAAACTTACTATTTCCTTCAAAAGAAACAACAACAAAGATCTCAAACCTAAGAACTAAATAGTTACATGAAAATTCCAGCTTAAGATTATGAGTACAGGAGTCAGAAGACTTCTTCTGATACTCATGATTTTATTGCTCAAGTTTATTATAATTATCATCAGCCCTAATTCATCACATTTCATCAACATGATGCATTCAAAGCTCTAGGAAATTTCTGCCTCTAATAGTTAATTACTTCTCACTATCTATAAAATTGCCATGCTGAGCTGTTTTACCTGTTCAAACAGCAAAACAAGACGATATTCTTTTAAGCCGTATTTTGAGAATTATAGGAATTTTGCATGCACCATCTCTATCAATATTTTAAAGTGTAAGTAGACCCCTTCTGCCACACCTCATGCAAAATTGAAGACTACTCAAATGCAAAAATGCTGCAAAATGCTGAATGAGGAACAAAGAATTTACATGCTCCTTGAGAAAACCAATCACTGAACTACACAATCATAGTAGGCATTTCTCTTTGGATATATAACACATCTTTATTCATGACTCAGGTTAATGATATCCTCACTGGAAAATTTCTCATCTCATACAAAAGACTAGTCAATATTCCAGAAAGAACTCCATTTCTGCTAACAGATAAAGTCCCAATGCTGACCAGGTTCAACAACACTACTTATTGAAAAATATTTTACTTTTATTCACCTGGCCTAGTTAAAGTTTATAAAGGAACTCTGCAAGATCTGTCTG